CATCGGCTATTGAAAAACCCATATCGGTCGACCTCTACGGTCAACCCCTGTACTCCTCTCCTCAGAGGAAGAGGAGGAGGTTGAAACAGAGGTCCACCTCTCGGGGAAGGCCCCAGTGGCGCCGCATGTAGTCAGGGTGAGTCCAGCGGGGTGCAAGTGCTACCCCTAACATGTGACATAGAAGGTGGAAACACCCTGTGGAGGAAAAGACAAGTCAATCACTTCAGTAAGGGAACAGTGATGGTGAGGCTAAAATAAGTTATTTTCCAACAGGTGACACTGCCCAGACGGAGGGAGCCCTGGGGGCACATGGTGCACAGCCGCCGTATAAGGTGGTGGTCCTCGACCAGCTGCAGGAGGAGCATCTGCTGCAGCAGTTGGAGCAGGAACAGTTGAGGCTGCAGCAGTAGCAGTTGGGGCTGCAGCAGGAGGAATCGGATGAGCTGGAGGAGGGGCTGCAGCAGCTGTTATAGGATCAGCTGCAGCAGGAAGATGAGCTGGAGCAGCGGCAGCTAGAGTCGTTGGAGGAGTCAGAGTCTGAAATTTCACCACTTAATTATTTTGGTAATTGAGGCATTGATAATTTGTGTGAACAGAAATTTATATAATTATATAATTTATATCTCTCTCTTTCTGACAGTTCCCCAGTTTTCTGCCAACAGTAGTGCCATATGCTTGGGTAATGCCAGGGCATCCGATTTTAACTTTTTAAATATGTCTGGGAGATTTATGTGTCTGTGGTAATGGGCAGTGATAAAAAAAATGTCATATTTTTTTTTAAATATCACAGAAGGCACTCGTCCGACGCAAGCTGACATAGCCTGACACCTTAAAGGATATGGTTCGCTTCGAGTTCAGGGATCATTGGCAGGAATGGCCATTAAGAACATATATGATTAATATGCAGTCAGTTACTGCCACCGATGTATTAGAGACATGAATGAAACAGAATACTGTCTTTTTGAGATCAACAGAGTCTTGGCCCAGTCATTCTCCTCCAGCACTGCAAAGACCTCCGATTGACAATCGGCAATGTCCAAGGCTTATTAAAGCAAATGCAACAGTATACATTTAAGATGGTAGTGGTTACTACTGCTACTACTACCTCTTTACTATTGTGTTTGCTGTTGCTAATATATGCTTGTTTTCTGCTTGTCTACATTTCAGACCATGAATCGTTCCACAAGAAACAGCAGGAGGATATCAGTCCTTTTGAAAGCCCATCATTTTTTCCCCCCCCATTTTGTATTTATTTTGTCTGCTTTAAGTATTTATATAATATATATTTTTATATATGTATATTTTTATTTTTCATTTCACAGCTGCTGTTTTTTTATTTGTGGTACCGTAAAAGTTTTAAGTTATAAAGGAGAAAATGTAAGTGACAAAGTATAGCTGATAAAATTGGATGGTGATGGCAATTGTCAAAATTATGGGTGTATGTCTTGATATTCCAGACGACGATGAAGATATCCACACATCCTTGCTGTCAATTTTGGTCTATTTGAAGAAAATATTCCTAATGGTGTACAGCAGACATGTAAGTGATGAAGTATAGCTGATAAAATTAAATGGTGATGGTGATTGTCAAAATTATGGGTGTATGTCTTGATATTTCAGCTGATGATGATGATGTCCCCACATCTCAGCCTGCCTCAACTGGCGAGGCTTAACCCACTGGGGTCTAGGGGTAGGGAACACACATTCACTGACTGGGGCATGATCATGCATTTCTTTCAATATCATAAACTTAATTCATGGCAAATAAATTATTTCTTATACATTTGTTTTGCTGTGGTGGACTGGCGACCTGCCCAGGGTGTACCTCGCCTCTCGCCCGAAGATGCTGGGATTGGCTCAAGCTTCCCCATGACCCAGATGGATTAAGCGGTATAGATAATGGATGGATGGATGGAAGGATATTTGTTTTGGCATTAAACTCATCTTTACTTTAATGTACTTTGTAAACGTCAGATTTATGTTGTTTGTAATTTGACATCAAAGTATAGACATTGCAAAATGCAGTTTGAAACAATCGCAGAAACATTATAAAAGTACATAGTAAGCAATGGTGACAGTTTGTTTTGATCCCAGATATCTGATCACCAAAGTCTTGGCTACATGAAGATGACTAAATGGTGTAGTTGCAACATTCAGTTGAAAAACCTAGCTCATGTCACTATTTCTGGCTCCTTGCATTGAATATGTAGCAACTTTCATGTTTATGAATGAGCCATTGACACCTGGCCACATCCCTCCCCCCCCTTTTGTGACACTGATGGGGATGTATCTGGATCGCGTTTCACCGTCATCAAATTACCATGCGAATGCGATCTGAATACGCGCAATGCGGCTATTTATAATGTGAATAGCGATCTTTGAGTGACAGCGGTACTACACGCCCCTGATGCAGGTCAAACAAAGTAAGGTGACATGGTTTACTTTTTTGCCGATTTAACCTAATTTTTAAAAGTTTAATACTTCCGACAATGGATGTTTTGAAAAGAAGACAGATTATGGATTTAGTCAGTGTTTTTTTTTCATGATTCTACATAAAGATTTCACCAAGATATAAACTGAAATAGACGCGAAAAATATACTGCATCGTCGACGACACACTCGACCCCAGAGGATTAAAGTAAGTCACATCAATATATTGTCTTGGATATATACACAGGTAAAACTAAAAACATATATAATTAAAGTTCTTGTCATAGCATCACATGAGAAGATTTTATATATATATCATGATGGTGCCGTTGTTGACAGCGACGTCAACTAATTCCAAAAGTAAGCCACATCAGTAAACTGAAAACAATTTGCTTGCACCACTACTAATCTTGCACTCTTGTGGTTGTCCTCACTGATCATTCTCTTTTGTTTTTTGTCTTATTACATATTAGGCTGCAGCACTGAGAATGGGACGGTGTCCTCTTGTAATTTTTTTGTATACTTTTTTATTTCTGAAGACTTTTATTTAGTTAAATTAAAAAAACTCTTCTAGGCAATTTGTAAAAAGATGCAAACAAAAAAAAATGCGGCAAAAATAAAATGTGTTTGGTGTTCAATCAGTGTCTCAAAGTTTTTCATACTATCTCCTGTATGAGCTACTGTCCATGGGTCATAGTAAGTATGCAAACCGTACAGGCTAGGGGTCTGAAATTTGGCATGCTCAAACTACATATATATATGAACAACTGTGCAATGTCTCATGAGCCTAAACCTTACAGAACAGGTTTGGTGGACCTGTGACTTTAAGTTTTTAATGCACATGGAGGGGAAAGGGGGCAAGGTAACTGAGGGGGTCTTGTGGCTGACCCCTGCAAGCACCGTGAAGTAGCTCCCCTGAAGGTTTCACAACCAAACTCCTGTTGTAACTCTTGTAAAGTACTCTTACCATTTGTAACAGTATTTTAATTCTGAAAGTCACTGATTAACAATGTGTGTTGTTTAACCCCATGTTTTAATTAGAAAACATTGCTGGCACCAGCTCACCTGCTGCATCTGTGGTTGACATAACAATTGACGAGGAGGGGGAGGAAGTAAGTTTCGCCAGTTAATTACTTTGAGAATTGAAGCATCGTGATGATTTTTGTGTGCCCACAAATGCATATACATGTGTCAAACTAAAAACACGTCCTGTCACAGATGCCTAGAAACCTTCTCAAAGCCGTGCCACATTCTAAGGTAATGCTGATGCATTTTATTTAACTTCTGAAATATGTCTGGGAAATTTTACATCTCTCTGGAAAAGTTTTGTGACGAAACTAATGAGACATTCTTTCACATATGTCAGAAATTGCTGCTGTGGCGGAAAATTACATACCCAACATCCTTGAAGGACATGATGAGAGCACAGTTTAAGCCATATTTCAGATGTCCAATAAAGACCGAAGTCGTTAGCATGCCATCGAGCAATGGTAGAATTTCTTGGAAATTAGACACACGGTAATGGTGCGTGGGTGGGCTCTTATTGTTCTAACAAGTGTTTGTTTAAACGGCACAAGAGAAGCTTTTCAAAGGTGGCATCAGAAAGGCGGTTTCTCTTTGGTCTGAAAATATCCTTTCCTACGCTAAACAGTCTTTCACAGGCTGCACTTGCTGGGACCCCTGTGTTGTATCCATACTTTTTAATAACTAAGGTGGATGCATCATCAAACTGCTAAAGCTGGATTCATTTTTATTACTTTTAAATGTTTTTTATAGCTAATACCGAGGACAGAATTTGGGCAAAGTCTATAAGTAAATAAATACTGTAGCGCGGAGGTACCGGCGGGCAGCGCAGCATGTTGGACTGATGCCAGCTTATAAATAGTTCTCAGTAATCGCTGTGTGATTATAAATTTGCTGTGTGTTATGTCATGTATAATCGTTAATGTTTATTGTTGTACGTAGTGTGCATGTATGTGTGCATGCACCCACCGTGTGTGTGAGGAGTAAACGGGGGCGACGTCCACGGTGGGCCGTGGGAGTGTGTGGGTTGTACTAGTACGGGTGTAATAAATGCCATCTGGTGATTAAACCCAGAACTATCTCTGCTGTTTAATTGTTGCAAGAATGGTTCAGCGGCTGTGGGATTCAATAGAATTATAAAGAACATACAATGAATAGAGGAAAAGGAGAATATAGCTTAAAAAGCAGGGCATGATGAAAAGGGGGGGTTCATTCTAAAAAATGCAGTTAACTGAAACGAGAACTGACTGGCGCCGGCAGGGCAAGGTTACCTCATCGAGACAGATAGAGGGAGCCGACAGACAACGTAAGCAGCCCTTACGTATCTGTAGCCTTCCACAAGGACAAGTACTAACCGACTAACTAGAGCAAATGTCAAACATGTGGTTGTCACGTAGACGGAAGGTACCGAGAGAGGGGGGGAGAGGCAAAGGGCAAAGGGCTTTAAAAGGGATATAGCTGGTACATATGGTAGAGACAGTATCCGGCGAAGGGGAGTGGGACTGGGCCCCCTCCTCCGCTCAGTGACGGTTCCCGCGAGCGGCCCGGGACGCAGGGGAGGCAGACCCTATGCTGTCCCTTATGGTCATGGACAAAGAACTGCCATTTCTGGTAGACACGGGAGCCACGTATTCCACTTTTAACGTGGTTACAGCATCATCTGTCTACCTCAACAGTGACCGTTGTGGGATTCTCGGGGGAAGAACAGAGACTGCCAGTGACTGAACCAGTGAAGGTCGAGGTGGGAAAGCAGACCTTTCTCCACCCGTACGTGGTGTCTTCTTCCGTTCCAGTGAACCACCTGGGACGGGATATGCTGGTGACACTGGGGGCCTCGATCCTGTGTTGTGCAGACGGACTGGTGGTTACCTTGCCGGAAGGCATTCGTCTGCGGTGTGACGCCCGGACTACGGGCTCGGGACAGTGGCTGGTGCAGCCAGTCCAGAGTCAGGCCCTGGCAGACATCTATTGGGGCCTACTGGAACCCAGCCTGACTGGCATCCTGGCAGCCTACTCAGCGTGGCGGCCCTGGATCTCGCTCCTAGAGCCCTATGTGCCCCCACCTGACCCTCCTCATGTGACCCTTTCCTACGATAGGGATAGTACTGATTGGTATGAGGAAATGTTTGCTGAGCAATTAGAAGGCCGACAGTGGCAAGTTGCCTCTGAAAACTTATATGTGGGTCCCAAAGAAGTAGCCTCAGCCACACTGCTCACCCCAGAACAGCTGCCCTGGTACATGATTAGAGTAGTTGAGGAATGTTTAAACTAGGGACTGGGGGGGCAGGGAGGTTAGTTAAGTATGTAACTGGGGGGAAACGGAAAGCCCAAAAAAATCATATTATAAGTAGGCACTGTAATAAGCCTACCCTTTGTTGTCTGTATCTAAACGCCAGGAGTATTAGGAATAAAATTCATGATTTAGAGGCTCTTATCTCATCGGACTCTTATGATATTATAGCAATAACTGAAACGTGGTTGAGTGAAAAGGATGGACAAGAATATAATATGGATGGTTACCCATTGTTCCGTAAAGGCCGTATAGGTAAGAAGGGAGGTGTTGTTGCAGTATATGTAAAGGAAATCTTGCAGGCAAGGGAGCTTACTGATATAAGTAAAAGTAA